CTCCTCTTCTCTCTCTCTCCCTCTCATTCCCTCTCTATCACTTTCTTTTACATATATACATATGTATGTGAATATGTATATATATACGTGTATGTATGCATATTATATAATAGTCTCAAGGAAGCTAGGTATCTTCCTATGTTATGCCATTGTTTATGAACACCAACAAAATAATTTAATAATGAAAGTTATTGAAAGACAAGGTCACGGATGACATAAAAGGAAATAATAATTGGGATTTAACATGTATCTTCGTTTGTAGAGGTTGTGGAGCAATAATTGTGCCTAAGAGCTCCTTGGAGTCAAGTGCAGCATCAGCTCTAATAAGAAGACAAGTATATTCCAGCTAGGGGTTAAAAGAGTCGAGTCAAGCCGAGCTCGGGTCATGTCGAGCTCGAGCTTGACTCGCCAGCTAAAGCTTCATTTGGGGTGGCTTTCTTAGTGCTTCATAAAGCAAATTTCTAGTAAAAAATTAAAACTAAATCACGAGCTCAAAATCATGAGCTAGAACTTGAACTCATGTCGAGCTCGGCTCGTGACGGTAAAAATAGGTTCACGAGCCGTTCGCGAGCTCTCAACAAAAGCAGCGAAGGAGAGGAAGGACTGTCGGAGAGAAAATATCTGCTACCTAAGAAGAAGCTGGTATATACTATGTAGAAAGAAGAATTGGATTTTGTTTTAATAATTTTTTGGGGAATATGTTGCTTTGACTGTTGCATCGCTATTAATGCTAGACACTTTACCCAAAAAACATTAATGCAAGACAACTTTGAAGGTAAGCTTTTTTTCAAATATAAGTTGTGTTAACAACTTTTGTCCACATAAAAAAGTCTTTGCTATTTTTTTAACAAAAACATTTTCGTTCATTTTTTTTAATTCCTTTTTTTTTACAAGCCAGCTCGCGAGCTCTCAAGCCAAGCCTCACCAAGCTCGAAATCGAGCTCATTTACTAGACGAGCTCGAGTTTGAGCTTGAGCTCGAGCTCGCAGCTCGATGACCTCGACTCTCCACTCACTTGCACCCCTAGCACCAACTAAAACCTATCCTCAAGCATTGAGTCCAGATTGAGCTCAAATGCATCACATTGGATTTCAAACACACGAGGGGAGTTGGTGGGACTAGCAATGTTGAGATAGGAGTTACTAGATGGAGAAGTAAATTTGTTTTTTTTTTTTTTTAATTCCTCTAGACACCAATCTATTTTAGAATTGAAAATTCTATCATGAGGCTAAGGTTGATTGGAGACTTGATGAAATTTAGGAGAAGACCAATCAAAGTGGCTCAACTCTAAATGAGTATCATAACAAATATGAGAGTGGGTAAGATCATCAGGATATGATCAATCAGGATCATGATATCATTAATGAGGGTGTGAATGATTGGCATGATATCATCATAAATAATCATTATACAAATTATATAATTTGCCCTCTCAGTGTTCTAAGAAATAGGGATCATAAATATTATGATAAGAAGAGTATGATTTATGATATCTCCTATCTTAATAATGTTTTTTAGAATGATCACGATAGGTAGTATATGATGTCTGTCTAAAATACACAAGCTTAAAAATGAGAGGGAGCTTAAAAATGAATACAAAAGTAGGGAGAAAGAAGGCAATCTAGTAAGTAAACAAAAGATATGTGCAAACTTTGCTATGCCCTAAAAGCAATTAGGATCATAAGAGAGGAAAGATAAGGCATTTTTAAGACAAGGTAGCTAGAGCAGAATTATCAAGTTGAAGGTCGCAGCACCAAGGCACCATTACCAAATCACATAAAGACAAAAGGTAGCTCGTCCTCAAACATGTGAGGAAATAAATAGTGAAGTCATGTATGGGATTTGGAATGATAGATTTCACATGTAATTCGGCATATGCACAACACAAAAGATTCAAGGTGTGGGCACAATATAGGGGTCACATACATGTTGCAAGCAGGATGTGGTGACTTCATGATGGAAGGTCGCATGGGAGGTGCATCACACACATTAAGTCATGCAGGTTCCTAGTCTTGAGCAACATGGAAGGTAATGCACAATTCTGTGTAGAGCTAAGGGAATGATGCTAGACAAGCTATTAGATTGCACAAAACAAGGGGCATGGGCTACCACTCTAGAGCAAAGAGGGGAAATCATGGGAATGGCTGCAGTCACAAGTGTGAAAATGGATGCAAGACTGTGTAACATAAGTGAGGGAAAAAGGGCAGTAAAGAGCAGTTGTCACAAGCTATGGCGCACAACAAACCTTTCATAATCTTCTTCATTGTTGTGCAAAGAAGATTATGAAAGATTTGCAGGCACAATGATGATGCGCAAGAGGTGTAAACGTGAAGCTAGCAATAGAAATTGGAGAAAACATAGCAAATCATCTTGAACATGCCTCTGATACCAATTAATTGAGGAAGCGATACATTAAAAGGAGAACTAAGAGAGGGAGAGATAAAGAGAGAGAGAGAGAGAGAGATTAAACCGTAATATTGATTCAATAATTCTCAATTAGGTTTGGTTCGAAACAATAACAAGATTATTTATATAAACTAAGGGTCTCCAATATCCTCCTAATAAAACATTGACTTTTAAGTAAAGCAATAATGTGTTCTTATTATTTATACATGTATGAAATATTTAAAATAGTTAAAATATGTTGAAACTAAATGAATAAATGTCTAATAGCTAATTTGGAAGAGAATCTGATGAGGACATCGACAGACGCTACCGACATGTTTATCGACGGCGAAATCGTAGATCGACGGCCACGATTCAGCGCCTCTACTTTTGATTCAGATGTCATGATGTATTATTTAGTATTTTCAATTTTTTCATTTTTACTCTTGTGGGGAGTTGCTTTGTTATTGTAGCCTAGAGGGCAATTTCTTACTTTCTTTTTTTTATGAGTTGAGACCTATATATAGTGGTCTCATATGTTGTATTAGGGTAATGAATATTTGAATGAAATTTTATGTTATCTTCTTCTTCTTGCATGAGAGCTAGAGAAGGGTGATTGAGCTCAAGGTGAGCGTTTGCAATACCCACCAGTCGTTGCCTCGTTGGAAGCGTCCTCGACTCGTGGTTCGTGTTATCTTATTGTTTTCTTTTCTAAATTTTGGTTCTCCTTTTCTCCACGTCAATCTCCACCCGAGATCCATTCCTCCAACACTTCATCCAATCGTTTCACTACTACAACTCCAAGCTCCGTTAAAATCACCCCCCAAACCCCCACGGCAAGCTCCTCCTCCTCCTTGGGCCGTCGGCCACCTCCTTGCTTCAAACCTTGATGATGACACTAATCATCATAATGACTCCTTAATTTGAGTTTGCAATAAAGGGAGAGTCTAGCTAATTTGAAATTCAAATTGGAGATTCAAAACTTTCCATAATTGCAAAAGTCCAAATAAGGAAAGATTTGAATTAAATCCAATTCAAATTTCATAACATGAGGAGTTACTAATTCTCATCCTAGATGGCAACAACCCATTTGGAAAGTGCATAATCCCTCCCTAATCTCCCTCCTCCCCTCTCTACATGTCGCCGGCCTCATCAAGGGGGAATCCCCTTTAATGCTAGTTTAATTGCAATCAATGCCCTTGATCCAAAATTCAAATTCTAATTAACTTCCCTCCAAATTTACTTAAAATCTGAAATTAATTTCAGATTTGAGTAAATCTCTTCCTTCCCTCATCTAACCTAAAACCCCTCTCCAAAATCACCCGCCCCCTATCTCCCCACCTTGGCCGACCCCTCCCCTTTCCCTCCCTTGGTGAATTTCGGATGCTCATAACACTTGAAGCCAAGAGAAGAAGACAACGCCCTTCAACCTCCACTTCAATGTTGAATGGCGGATCCCGAACTTGAGTAGGGACTCGTGTTCGATGCCGACGGAAATCTCAACATCCTAAGATCTCCGTTCTTCGACGTGGGATTTGAAGACGACGCCACCTTTGGAGATTATTTGGATCGAGTTGTCCCTACTCTCGCGCACGTCCTCACCCGTCGAATTCCCGACTATGATTGGATCATCGTCGGCCACCCACCACCTTCATCTCCGCCAGCTACCTCTCCACCAACGAAGTTCTTCGGCGCCATCTCTCTAGTGGTAATATCTTTCATTATATGGGTCATCTTTCTCCGCTAAAAGCCTACAACTAATTGAGTGAGAAGGCCCTTGAGGTGAACCTCTCATTGTTAAGCGTTGGATTATGTTATTTGTACTTTGCATTTAAATTACCTTAGACTTTGAAAGAATTGTTTTGGTTATTCTCTATTGTACGTCTTTGGCCTAAGCAAGTTAACGATTTCAAATTCTTAACTCACTTTCATGTGCTAGCATTAAATTTAAATGAGCAAAACTTTAATCAACCTTCTTTCTAATTTCTAAATGTAACTCCTAGTAGTTTCACATCAGAATCATATGACCATACTCATGATGCATTAACAAGTTTAACAAGATCATCATGAATATTTGTTTGGGGGTGGTCAAGGGCTGACATCAAATGGAATTTTGTTCAAGTTAGGTAGAATATTTACACAGTTTATTGTATGCTTAAATTTATTGTATGACTTATGACATGCATACTATTAACACAATAAATCTAACCACCCAACAGATTTGGATGGCAGAACAACTCATCTACTTATTTATTAGGCTCAATCTTTAACATAAGAACACTCTGTTATTTTAGTAGATAAAGTTGAGAAACATTTACACAACTTCATGTAAGCTGGCTTTTATATTATGAATCATGATATGCATGCCATAAAACATAATAATCCACGCTATCCAAGCAGATTTTAGGAAAAATTTCCCCACTTTCGTATATGCTTGATTTCTATACAAAACAATATGCAAGCCACCACACAAGCAAACTTGGGTGGTTCAAAACTTATCAAATTATTCATTGGCGTATTATTTTCCATAAGAAACCTCAATAATTTTAGCGGGTAATGCAAATGCAGGAGAAACTGATGGAGGAAAAACGGAGCAGTTACTATAACCAACTCACTTGAACTTGCTGAACAACTTCATGCTCATCTGAATCAGCAAGAATTTGGATTTGAGTGACCTTCAAAATGTTGGAGAAAACTACAAAAAATAATGAATTTCAAGTAAAAAAGCTAGCCTTATGATTGTAGTTAGCAAAAGAACTATCGAAGGCGTGATTCCAACAGCATACAAAGGTGATATTCTCCAAATCTGGGATTAGCCAATTGACGCCTGAGATTCTGGATATTATCAGATGTTGGTCTAAGAAAATAAACAGCTTTCAAATGTGACATTGGCTCTTTTGACATTGAATCCACCAGCTCTACCAAAAATACTTCCTTTTGGAGCAGTTCTGATTGAGAATAAACAACACTGACAATACTGACCTGCATCAGATACCATTTTAGGATAAATATAAGATAAACATGTACAGTCTGATTTTTTTTCTGCTAAGAACTCCAGCAGTCTTGTTTTTTCAAAGAAGACATATGCCTTTTATCGACTTAGAATGCACTGCTATCAGGTTCTCGTTTTCTTTAAACATCTAAGAATTTTAAACAAGAACATAGTTTCTTAGCAATGCAAAAAAAAGGTTAGCCAAGAACCCGCATTAGTGAGAGACTCATGCACCAGGTATGCCTCATTTTATTTTGTATGGAAATCTGAAATAATTGGATCAAAGCATGTAAAGGCTAAATTATTGTAGGTGGTAATATACTCTTAATTTCAAATATGGATCCCAAAATGGATAAGCAGATGCTTCTTTTGTTAATTCTAGGTATGCGCATTACAATGCAGTAACATATTCATTAAAAATGGATGCACTGATCATGAGTAAATGTACCCATACATCTTAAATCTTTAGCAAATCCCACAAAATACGAAAAGATGTTCGCTCCGAAACTTTTTAAGGCTGATCTATCTAATCCAGAAGAGCATAGGTACCACCTAATAACGAGAGAGAGAGAGAGAGAGAGAGAGAGAGAAGGATAGTCGGGTTGCATAGAGATGTTGATTCTTCCAACCCTGTTTTTGAACTGGTAGGGAACGCTGCTTCATTTCCAGCCCTTGCCAAATTAAAAATTTCCAGGGATTTCTTCCCAGGTCCAAATTGGCCTAAATTCGGGAAGTATTTCAGCTTGTTCAAGCTGAACGAATAAATAAATATTAAACGTCTCGAATCTATAACACTCTCTAAGGAAAAAAGAAAATTCTCCAAGGTTCCCTACTAATAGAATTTCATCCAGTTTCCCTGGTCAATGCCAGGCATTTGTTACAGCTATATGCACATAGAGGCATGAATCGTGGGCGTCAAGGCTTATAAATGAGAATATGGGGAAGGGAGAAAGAAAGGAAGTAGAATTCCAAATCCTTACCGTCTGTGAATCCAGAATGAGGACTTTCATGCCGGAGATGTCCTGCAACATCCGCCCAATGTATTCTCGAACGAGCGAATTTAACACCATATTATGATCGTGCGATGACAGCTCCCTAACGGGCTGTTTGGTTGCAAGATTTAACTGGATTTAAGCAAGAGTAAAGCTAAATCTTGTCAAAAAAGTTTCTTTTTCTTTTCTTGGCAAGTAAATCCTGTGGCGAGCTAGATTCAAATCGCAAGTATTCTCCTTCGCTGCCTTCTATGGTCGCTGCGGCATGCAGAACTTTTAGGGGCTGTTTGGATGCAGGATTTAGACCGGATTTGAAGCCGATTTGAGCTAAATCCAGCCAAACGGCCAAAAATGCAAAACCAAATCTCACGCTAAATCAAAGCCGCGGTTGACGGAAAATTCCCTCTTTCGCGGTAAATCCCGGATTTACGAAATCCTTTGGTTCGGCGGATTTACGGGATTTGGCCGAAGAAGCGCGCGAAAGGGAGAAAGTTACCTTCACAGCTTGCTCCCGTTGTTTCCGATCAAAAAATGTCGTAACTTCCGCTCGTCGTCGAAGGAGCGAAGTGGAACAGCGACGAAGAAGAACTCGTGCAAAACTTTACACCTGCGAAGGAACGAAGCCGAAAGTGATAGAGAAGGCAAAATCTAGGTCCTATAAGTTAATGTTGAAGAATTTAAGTAATTTAATTTAAAATATTAAAAATTAAGTAATACAAATTAAATTATTACTAAAATTATTAGTTAAATACTTAGTTATTTCAAAATAATTAATAGAATTAAATATGATTTTAAATGAAAATAATTGTTATAAAATATTATAAATAATAACTAACCCCCTTAAATATTTTAACCACCTTAAATGCTTTAATTATCCAAGAAATATATATCAAATATTTTAACCGCCTTAAAATCCTTAATTTAATAGTCAAACAATCACATAGGATTTAGCCACTGGATTGAGTATTATCAAAGAAATTTAATTTTCATTAAAACCTTAATAAATATGTATATAATGATTCAAATCAATCAAATTAAAATTTAAAATAAATTTGGTGTTGAGACGGTTCTAACGAGCCCAAAAACATCAAATTTGGACAAAAAATGAATTTTTAGTTAATTTTTTAAGTTCTGGTCATTTAATCTGATTTTTAAAATTAAACTATATTGAACACTTATAAATAAAGCACAGCAAAAGTGCAATAAAAGAATAGTGAAAGAATTTTTAAGCAATAAGTTTTTAATAATACCAACTCTACTTGGCTAAGCTTTTTGAAATTATAATTGTTTTTAAAATTATTAAAAATACTACTTAAATTTTTCTAGAAAGATGCACTTTCATTGTACTTTTGCTGCACATTCCGAAAATTATAAGTGTTTTCAAAATTATTAAAAATACCAAGGAATTTTCTTAAAGAGAATTACTATACTATATATTAACTGTGCTTTCACTAAAGCATAGTAGTTCATTCACTCAGCTTTAACCACGCTTTAGATTCGCTTTTACCATTTTACTAGTGTTAAAACTTTCTACCATGATCTGAAGTAACACATATTGTAAAAATATTTCTAGTATGAATTAAAGTAATCATATATAGTGTAAAAAACATTACAAGCATGAACTTAATTTTTTTAAAAAAAAATCTAATTTTGTTACAAGAAATTTAATACAAATATCGAGTTTAATACAAAGTTATTTTTTATTTAACAAATATTCATTAGTCATTACAATTAAAAGTTATTACAATTTTATCTCTGAAGAAATAACACCCATCATCATTCTCATGTACTCAGGTCCAGACTGTCTGGTTGTTGCCCCGGTTTGGAATTCCTCACTAAAGCATTTGGGCATGCTTAAGAAGTTCATCTATGTTGAAGGATTATCATTTTCTATTATTTTTTCACTAAGGGCAGGTTTCTTTGCTCAAAAAATTAGGCTTAGAAAAATATATATTATCTCATAATATATAATTAAAAGAAAAATGGTAGGATGTTAAATCTTACTCTTAGGCTTCTTCTTCTTTTCTCAGTCTCCCTTTAGTCTTGCATTAGAGATGCCTTTATGTCTATGTTTTAGTGGATCTTTTAATTTTACAATGCCACCTTATTTATTTCCATCAAACTTATGATTTTTTATATTTTCATCAAGAATCAAGTCTATATTTTTTGTCATATCCTTCATTACAACCAACATGTACTACTTAGCCTCATCATTCCCTTTTTTTTTGGGGAAACATCATTCCCTTGAGCTCATGTGCTAATTTGATATGCAAATCTGCTGAGATGATTTTTTAATATGAATTCATTATCAGCTTCTGAATTATTCTTTATTGCACTTATGCTCATATAACATGAATATATATGTGTGTGTGTGTGTGTGTGTGTCAGTGTGTGTGTGTGTGAGCTCTTGGTGACCATCACAACATTAGGTACTTCTCAAGAATTTTCATAATATATAGCTGCCTCAAAACACTCATGTAGTGAGAATATAATAAACTCATCGTCTCAAACTTCCTATAGGTGCATTGGATGCTACCTTCTATTACATCAAAATCAACAACCAAAGGGATAAATTTATCCTTATTCTCTGTGTACGTGACTAAATTTTGAAGAATAAATTGAGATAAAGTCCATACTCATTTCACCCACACCTTATATAAATTCTCCCTATAAAAATGAATATAGTTTTCTTGAGTAAAGTCAAGTAACTTACTTTAATATTGAGCTGCTTTTTATTACATGTACTATTTCAGTCTAGCTGCATTTGAAGTCCTCATCATGTTCATTCTAGCGCCAAGTCATCATCACCTTCTCTAAGCCTGGAAAATAATCAATTATAGAACTTGTTGGCTTCAAAATGTCATGACATACAATATTAATAGACTCCTACGCTGCGTGGATAGAATGACCATGTTAAAATAATTCTATTGAAAGTTGTTGACCACTTATTCCAACCAATCATTATTATGGAGATTCCCTTCCGTGACCATTTCAGCCCATATTTTCTTAAACTCCTCATAGTCACACTTGCTCAAACACTTATAAAAGAGTCATCTGACTTTGTAATTTCTATTAAAACACCTGACTTTTGATGGAACCTTTTTAGAGATGTACTATTAGCATAGTCTATGACGAGTCAGAGAAAATAAAACTTATATGTTCCTAGCTATTTCTTGATCTTGATTAGTAAATATTATCATTGGATGTTTATCGCACATTATTCGTATAAATATTTTAAACAATTATGTAGATAATTTAATTATTTCTCTGATAAAAAGACCACTCTTGACAAATTATTTTGCCAATAATTATTAACACCAACAAATGGTGCACAAATTATATTATATTTATTTAGCCTATTGCTACAATAAAAATCACCACATCTCTGAAATAGTCATAATTTATCTTACCCATCCCATTAAAAAAAATTAACAATGTATTAGATTCATCAATTTAGATGTCCAATGCGAACATATTATCATAAACTTGACGATCTTTAAATAATTGAATCAAAGAATTAGTGTCCTAAAATTCAATCTTTGCTCTTTTCTCCTTCTAAATAAAGTTATATACATCCTTATTAAATAATCAAACATTCTCAATACCTCCAACTTCCTCTATAAGGTAGGACAATGTGTCAATAGTTCAAATCTATCAATATAGTAAAATCATATTCTAGATCACGTGCTCAATGTATCACATTAATCACATGTAGCAATTCAATACGGTGTATCAATGAAGCGATAGTATCAATGAATTAATATCAATGAATCAATAGTATCCATGTCCATAGTATCATGAATCAATACAATATCAATATCAATATCAGTATCTATGTACAGTGATATGTACAATAACAGTAAACTCGTAAATCCATCAATAAATCTATTCGTCACGAAATCAATCCAATACATTAAATCCGTCGATATCAAGAAATCTATAAATCCATTCAAAATAAAAAAAATTAATAAATCCGTCGGTCTAAATAAATGCATACATTAATCAATAAATCCATAATGAGATCATAAGAATAGTACTTACACAAGCCATGCAATACCATAGTCTTACTCGACAAGTACAATCACTGGCTATTAAAATGTTTTTCAAGTATCAATGTAGCGTTGTGTCATTATATCCATATCCATATCCATTGGCTCAATAAGAGTCGTCACTCTGTGCCCGTCAGCCCACCATCCTGTCAGGTCTATCAATCTCCAACCAACTGTTCAACCAGTCTTTACTTGTCTTTCAGTAACAATAACAGTAATTCAATCATATATGCACATTCAAATATATCTCATTAATACATAACAATCAGCAAACACAATTTAACTCAATTGAAGAAAACCCTTAAAATATCGTATATTAGACAGAAATCGTTGCAAAAATGCACAGTTCCCAAAAAATACCAAATTATCAGAAATCGAATAAAACAACTTTACAAAGCTTTACTTGTACTGAAGCAATAATTTCCAACATCCTGATAATTTTCTATTCGATAAAAATCACACAAAACTCAAAATAACCTATAAAAACTTTACAGAAAATACTCAAATCGTGCAGAAATATCATATCATAAACATATCAAAAGTTGTGCTGTAAAACTTTCGTCAATATAAAATTATGCGCGTTTTTTGGTAACGGAAACACAAAACGGAGCAGAAAAATACCAAAACACAAAATCTTCGAAATCAAAAATAGGATTCGGAGTCCTTACTGCGAGACAGACAATTCTTCCAACTGTGTCGTTGGACGAAAAGCACCCCGCGGCCTTCGAAACCAAGCTTCTTCTTTCTCTTTCCTTCTCTTTCTCTCTCCTACCTTTTCTCTCTCTTCCAAAAATATCTCAAATCCTCAATTTATCAAGCAAGATCATCCCGGACGATTCCCATTCGTCCCGGGACGAACTCCTCTGGACACGGATCGTACAGACGGAAATTAATTCCAATTTATTTCGTCCCTAGACGAAACTCTCTGTTCGGTTCGTCCCAACGGTTCGTCTCGATGTACCCAAGTTCGTCCAGACGAACCTGCATTTTTTTACTCAGTTCATCCAGACATTTCGTCCGTACTAACCATACAAATTTTCACAATTTTCTTCAGTTCATCCCGTACTAAGGCCAATTCGTCCGGACTAACAGCACTCACACAAATGAACTTTTGAGGGGTTTTACAATCATAGAAGCAAATGCATAGCAAAAAATAGTTTATGTTTAATTCTAGCATTTTACTGTGCTTTTATTGTGATTTTGCTTGGCTTTTGTTATGTTTTAGAGCTGCAAAAGCGTAGTGAAAGCTTATTTAAATTACAACGAAAGCATACTAAAATATTGTCAAAAGTGCAATGAAAGTGCAACCAAAGTGCAAAAGTACCGTGAAAGAGCAATAAGAGTACAATTGCAATTTGTAGTAAAAGCACAGTAGCAAATGCACAATGTACTTTTGCTTTTTTTAAGCACTTGTATGTGCTTATACTGAGCGTTAATGTGCTTTTTTCTATGCAGCTTTGTTTTAGAACTTCGGAAACCCATAAAATAACTTGGTATGAGGTAGAAATTTACCGATAAGTTGAAACCCCCAACAGTTCCATCTAAATTAAATTCATATTCCTGAACATTTTTGTACCTCCTTTCAACCTTTGT